ATTTTCTGCAAAGTAGGAGCACATTCATTTTGTGATAGTACTCATTTTTCACAGGATCAATCCTGCAGTTTGTTGCAGCGTAAACGGCAAGGAAAAACAGACACCGTGTGCCTTCGCGCGAATTTGAAGCTCTGAACGATCCGGCTATTTTGACGTTTCAGCGGTTACCCTTCATGGGGATCCAGTCAACCAGATCAGATTCAGCCGGAACTCATAGCAATGCCCACAACGGCGTGGCTAGTATGTGAAGCTGTGTACTCTCCAGACAAACGCAGTGAGAACATGCAGCCAATGTAGTTTGTAGAGGATCGCAGGATACGATCGAAACTCGCAAAACGCAGGCATATTTCTTATAAGCAGCAGATGCCGATGGTTAATGTATTTAGTGTTTGGGCAAGTGCTGCTTGTTGGCCAATCTGCCAAAAAGTGCGCACGTTGAGATATGCCAGTCTTAATGACAATCAAGGGCTACAAAGAGAAAAGCATTAACTGACCTTAAGCCCTTGATTAAACCCGGACTTTTTGACTGGACTGGAGGGACGCCATGCGAATACTTGTGAGTCCAAACCGGAAGACAAGCAACCATTGAAGTAAGATGGGAGAAGGCCAAGAATTGGGATTGAAAACAAGGGGATGGTTGTAAAGTTGAAGTGGGAGGATAAGAATGCAAATGCGGAAAAAGGGGAATAATAAGGCCGGAAGGTTTTTTGCCGTACCTTCTAAAACCCTATTCGCCCTGCTCAATACAGCAGATAAGGCGCCGCTTATTATCAACTGCGACGGCCGTAGCATCAAGAAATGGTGTGGACAGCAACTCATAGAATCTTTTTGTAGGTAATATAATTGCATGCACCTTCCATTAAACACAAGACATCCGGCTACATTCATCATGGAAACACACTGCCAGCCACAAATTCAACGTTTCGCTGGCCAAAAAGATCATCAAACTCAAGTGGGAACCGAGGACATAACCCAAGTAACCTGCATAGTGACATCCGTATTCCTAAATCACAATTGATCAACTCTTCCTTTGGTTGCGTTTTCCTCTTCATCCTGATGTTTTGACGCCAGCTCATTTTATTTTGTGCAAGCAAGTGAAATATACTGTTGGGATCACCGAATTAACCTTGGTTTTCTGAAACGACAAAGACCACCACCCTACCCAAATATAAATCATTAACCTCGAAGTGGATGGTTTAATTTAGATGTTGAAACTTGACTCAACTTCTGCCATCCGGTGAGCCATATTCGAATTCGTCGTCATTATTTCAGCTATGTACGGGAACATGAGTGACCAATAATTTGGGGAAATAGACAGCGTAGCTGGTTGCTCATCAAAATTGTGGGTAAAATACCCCCAGGTTTAATTCAGATAAACCGGGTCATTCTCTGAACTTAACCACAAATATAAATATGGATTAGGGCCTGGAGGGTTTCGTGTGACTGTCTTCCATCCCTGCACTCCACTATTGACTGTTTTGCCTTGGTTTAGACCCATCAGGTAGAGATAGCCGAGCTGGGATTGGAACTCGGCGCACATTGATTGGCGGCTGTTGTCTTGATCACTAGGCTATTGAGCTCGTGAGCAGTGTTTGGCACAGCGGTTAGGAGATTTAGTGTGATTTTAGTGGGTTGGATCACACGCCGTGAGTCTTGGATTGCGACAATTAGTAAGAGTTCATTACGTAATTGCCCGCCTTCCACCCGAACTGCTTTTATTTGTGTAAGACCATCTGTCAACATTGTTCAATCGTGAGGTTAGCCTTGGTGTGTGCAAGCTATGCAACATTTACTCAACTAAGAAAAACCAGGCAGGTGCGCCCCGACCCTGTTTTTACAAGCCATGCAAGCCATGGTAAGCATTAAGCAACTGACGCATTCTATTTTCAAAAATGATCTTGAATGGAAATCTTGGGCTTGTAGAACAAATGTTAGCTAATGATTACCCAGTTACTGAGTTGAAAGATCTAGCCAACGTGGCTAAGAGAATAATAGAAATACAAACATTGACGACCTCAGTGCCTTTTCCTCGCGCGCCTGACGATCCGTGAGGTCAAACCGTAAGATGATTACAGGATCATAGGGCTGTCCTTTCCACCCGTGAGCGCAGCGTTGATAGTCAAACTAGACGTCGAAAAGCCAGAACTAGTCGTTTACCCTACTTTTGTTAGTGACGCCTAAGATTTGGTAAATATGGCGCATACATGTGAGAAAGTGTCATTTTTAGCATTCGTGCAGGCGTCTAATTTTGGTCTCTGGCATGCAATTCCACCCTTATATATTCCCGCAACGGCATAATGCTTATATGCGGTCCCATGTGGAGTACTACGTTCAGGCTATAAATCCTAGTTTCTACGCGACTTAGTTGTACTGGAGACCCGAGAAAGATAGAGAACCAAATATCTGAAATCTTGTTCTATCTGCTACATCAAATACTACTGAAACCCACTGAACTGTTTGGTGAAATGTATCTCGGAGCTGAGTACATTCCGAGGAATCAAAGTTTGGTACCACCTAGTAAAACTGATATCACCTCCTGATGTTTAGACATAGTACCAAATTAAGCGACAAGCAGCTGAAGCTACTCACTGAATTCAGTAAGTTGAGATACTTCCAGAGCTAGTTAACTTCCGAAATATCAGCAGCGGAACGTTCTGCTGACTTCTATCGTTGACGCGCCCTCGCTGCTTACTTTTAAAAACAACAGGATCATGTATCGCGTCGTTTGCATTCCGTGACATCAAATAACGAGAAAATGGGAACAACCATGTGCTTAAAAGCACCCATTAATTTGTGGCGGAAATAATTACACAGAATGTTATTTTGAATCCATCGATGCGCTGTTTATTTTACTAAATCCCAGACTGGTATCGCTGGCTCCAACCATAAACGTTGGATCCTGATAAAACTAGTCGGTCAGCCAACAGATTAATGGCTCGGAATGCAGCATTGCCAGTGTCATTTGGTTCAAAGTAAGTTTGACGGAAGTGTTTCAGTAAGTGGTAAGTATTGGGTTGGCAAGCGTTCTTGCTATTAAAAGCCACAATGTCTACTTAACAACACTGTGACGTGGCGCAGGTGTCTCGCCCTGAAAAAAAGTAACTGCACTTTGTATCATACTGCTAAGTCTCCATGCACCATATACCAGTAATTCTGATGTTTGCGCGCTCTTAAACTTTTCCATACCCTTGTTTAAGTAATTAGAATACTCTACACCAACCCAGCAATAATTATATTACTTCGCACAGGTACACATTGCATTTTTACCTTTTTGCGTGTAATGTATTTTGCCCTTTGAAAAACATCGTTGTTTGTAAAATTTTGATCATACCTAATATGGCGTGCCACAAAACAATATAAGTAAAGTTTTATCTTTTCCTCTTTTGCTTTGAAAACGGAACATGCGGTGGGATTTCTCAATACTTTCCAACTTTATACAATGCAATGCCATTGTTTAAGTGTTCTTGTTCTGGGTTCACCCTCCACAAACTTTGTCTAGGTCACTTTGGAATTAGGTCTATTAGTTTGCTTGGCTTCCAACTGTTAATGTTGCCTGTGTTAAGTAAGCAGTTTGGAGCGATCAAGCTAATGAATTCGTTGGTGAAAATAAAGAACAGTCAGGGGTACGATAAAGAATCTCTTGACACCTTGAGTTGTCATTGGATAGGGTTCGACTCGGGTATATGGACATTCACCTCCGGATGACTATGTAATAGAATGCTTTTACCCACTGTATGAGCGAAGCGGAAGAATCCAAACGTTCAACCGATCGAATGCCAGCGAAGTCCTAGTACGCATCATAAATTCATACGAACAGAAGTATCTGGCTAACAGCGGGTTCCGACGTAAATCACATTGCTGTCTCTCAAAGTAGCCAATTTCAGCAGTGCAAGAAAATTGGGTGTCGGCAGTGATAGCTTCCACCGGTTAGCTGGATCGGAAAGATTGTGTTTCTTTTATTCGTATCGGTGCAACGCATACCAAAGTGTTTGTCAAAAAAACGTATTCCAATTATTAATAGCACTAAATTTCAGTCCATAAAAATACTGCCAGCACAACGCATGCGGAAATGGCAATTTGGCGAAGAAAATTATCCTTCTATCCACACTGGAAAACGTCACTCCTGAAGTATGTTTGACTTTGTGATAAAGCTGCCACCGCCAACAAACATAATAGCTTACAGAGCTGAAGGCTACTATTACGCTGGCAGTAATATTGACAGATTAGCTAAGGTCGAAACCGCTTCCCCATATTAGTTTAATGAAATAATCATAATTGAAGATACACCAACGATGACGGATACACCTTTTAGAGTTCAACAAACTGTAGGCAGAAACAACTGATTCACCATCGAAAAGTGTGGAAAACCAGGGAGGAAAACATTTTAATACGCGTCTACTCAGTAACGACATCGACTTGGACACGGCCACTAGAAAGTTGGATGATAAAATTTTAGTCCCTTGACGTTCGGTTATACTCCACTTAAGTGAAATTGACAACACCACTATCTGTCAGAGAACGACATACGACCCTTCAGATTGAGGTCCGCTCAAATACGGGGTCAATAATTGTTGACCTTGGAAAAGAAAACCGACGAAAGTAACCACCAGACTATCTTCTACACTAATAAATATAGGTGGAAAAAGAAGATAGAAATAATCACTACCCATACGAATTCACATTCTGTTAAACTTTATTGTCCTGCTAAAAACTGTCGGGCGTAAATGTTCGCCTATAACTTCCTTTTACATGACGCCGTTTTTGAGGCTATGTCGACTGTAATCTACCCGAAGAAACATATAATGGTGTGATCTGTAAAATACGATTAGGCCACCTGCCATGCATCACGAAATGTCATACAAGATAGGAGAAAAATCGGAATCTAGGATAGAAATTTTATTAATCCATGCCTGTTTTCATTATTTCTCAACACAAATGTACGAATTATTACAAAAACGTTTAGAAAGTTGATCCATATACCTGTCGGGAAATTGGGTAGTTTATGTTGACTCTGCAACGGAAAAGAAGAACGGAATAAGTTTAGCTGAGTATCAAATTCATCCAATTTTAATGCACACCTCCACATACACAACGTCAAATGATTTATTTAACCTGTAGTCCGGTGAAGCATGTTAGGTTTAAAATGTTTCATCTCCTGCCAAGATTTGTAGGCAATAATTTGAATCAATTCAACCTTAATGCCATACATTCGCACGTTCCTAGTCCTGAGGCCACATTTTCAACAACTGGCATGAAATCTGTTGAACGATTCTACTGTTATTATTTTACTAACTTTCTCATTCGAGAAAACAGCTCGAACAATTTATTGTTTGTTTTGGTAGGTATTTTACTTGGATACATTTTTCGCTCGGAGGCTTTAAGGCTTTTATCAATGAAATATACCTGATTATATCACTAACCTGGTTTAATGTCTACCAAGCGTTTGACCAAATCAACGTAGACATTCATTGTCTTGAATGAATCTATTTAAAACAAGAACGAACACATTTAGTTCGCTAATACAGGTTAACAAAACACATGTAACACGTAATATTTCTTGCGACCGGTGAGGTAAAACGTCAATCCCTCTGCATTGCTTCACCAGTTGTGTTTGCTACACTCAAGTTGAATTTTCAAGCGTAGGAAATTGTCAGCCTCAGAAAGCACTCTAGTGGCGCACGTTATTTTACCCCAGCGTATTCAGATGCAGGATACCGGGCGTAGTGCTTTTAAAATGGTTCTCTATATATCATCCGCCAATACAAGTTAGCCCTTATGTTTGCGTAAATTAATGACAAATTTATTTATTTGAATCTTCTTTTAAACTAATTCAAAGTATCACATGCTTAATTGCTTTATAAACCGGTTTTTCTAAGTTGGCTAGACTGCGTTACAAAATGAAATGAAGAAAAAGTAGCTAACTAAACATCCCTTGATCACTGAGATAAGGCCCAATGTAAAATCAATAAAACACACTGGCTAGACACAGCAAAATAGAGGCTGTGCGAGATTTTCTGTTTGCAATCGAAATATTTAGGAAAGCACCTCTCGAGAATGCAATGAACTACCACTAAAGCTTTGAGGGGGTACATTTATACAGGTCTACCTACCTAGAACTATGAGGAAAGTGGCTGGAGAGACCTGTCGATGTCGCAAGTTTTCGTGGACGGGATTCGGTACAAGTGCATGCATGTATGTTTTGGTGGTAGGAAATGCATTTTCTTTTGAGACCGGCAGCTTGGATATCAACATATTTAACCTAAACGTCAAAGGGTTTGGATGCTTATTACTTCAAAGCGGTCAAGTGTCCGCGGAGGCCCAATGGGATTCCCTAATGATCCCACATATTTAGGCGCAGAGCCTGCATGCGTTGTATTGACTTACGTGTGTGAATTTCCTGGTGTAAACCAAGCAGTTTCTCAAGCAAAGTAAAATCGTCGATCGTGACTGTAAATAAATAGTAAAATATTTGTATAATAGATTCGCGTTAGAGGAGCAGCCAACTGCCTCGAAAAGCGGATAAATATGTTCTAACAGGGGCTAGAAAGGTAGTAGCTTTGCATAACCCCATGAACTCATGCCGTCGCGTGATCATCAGTGATTTCATCGCTATTTGTTAACATTTGTATTTCCCTGTATAGTACGCTTGTCCAAAATAGAACAGAATACGTGTGACACAAATTCTGTAACCGTTCATTTAGTCCGAATGACTTTGCTCAAGTATATTCAAAAAATGACTGCCACCTACGCTGGTACGCCGTGTAGGTCAGTCTTCCAGCAAGATAATTAATTGGTATTAACATTTTTATCTGCGCACCAGCGGACGTGATTCTAGTTACAGCGTGCGGAAGAGTAGGGGTCTATGAGTCAGAGTGGATGCTTGAATCGCACTGATGTTTTGGCATTGGTAAGGAGCAGTACTGATACTGTGGTTTAATTGTTTTTGCTATCGCTATGATAGCTTTTCCAGATTTAATATTATTATTGCAACCCAGTAATTGGATGAGCTAGACCACTGCTTATCTAGAGATTACGTGAAGCAATAATAGCTTCTAAAACTAGAAAATCAACAGGATTTTGTTCCGTATTTCACCCCTAAAACTTGTTAGTTTCGTCTCAAATTGTAAACTAAAGTTTTCCAATTGCAGCCCATCAGAATTTAACAGAAATTATAACGAAGTTGTCTTTTTTCTGCCTACGCAAAGCTTGCAGTTCTGCGGGGAAACATTACTGTCATAAAGGTTGCACTTACAATTTGCATTAAGGCAAGCTGATATAGCAGAGACTCTGCAATTTACCTGTGTTCTATTCCGTTGTAGATAATGCAGCGATATTCCTGCTGACATTAGCAACTGTTGCTACAACGCTTAGCAAAATGGCATCTTTCACCTATAATTTAAGATATTTGGTTACCTGGATCATCGGCAGATGCCGGTAAATTTATTACTTGTATTAAGGATATTAACTGTTTAAAGTACCGCACCCGATATTATTGGGCTAAGTTTATATGTAAGTATCTGATCCATAGTAACAAATTGGCAGCGGCTGGCGTGCGTCGCATCCCATCAGGTTGCTTGCGTAGTTGCTCATGTTCCAGTGTAAAGAAACAGAGGTCATTGGCCCGCTTGGCTGAAAATTTTCTAATCATCTTCACCTAATAAGCTAATCTTACTGGGGAAAGTAGAGGCAGGTCAATTAGGTTAAACTGAAAATGGATAAAACGAAGCTACTTGTTGTCAGTGGCAATCTTTGATGACGCGGACAAGCCAGTTTCGCTGATCTAAGCAAAACAGAATTTAACTAAACTTATTTTGAGATTATTCAGGTCTCCTAACAGAAGTGTGTGTAATAAAAGCGCGTCGAGTTTCCCTTTGACTATATAGTTCGTGCAAGATTGCAGCCAACTTCAACATCACAAGATGACATTCAAGATGACTAAGAACTCTGTCATGACTATTCTTTTTCCAACGTAATTTTGTAAAAAGAAGACAGTGCAATATTGTTATACTCTACGTGTATGCTTAACTACACAGGGATAAGCTGTGCTTTGACATGGTTTAGAAAAAATGCGGAACAGGCGGCTGCCATTTGTACCCTAATGTCAGTTGTCCAAACTTAACTTCTTCACTGAATTCTTAAAACATGTCAGCTGCACACTGCACTTTGTTATACTTTTGCCCCATACATATTTTCCCCTGGTCTGGAAAAGACGGGCTTAAGAAAAACAGATGCTAACACTAAAATCCTACTAAAGGTCTACCGCAAAACGGATGAATTTGAATTCAGTACGCAACATCATACTTCCATCACAAGGACTTGGTAATGAATAGTGATAGCTGGGCTGTCGATTCAAAAAACCGTGAATTAATCATACAAGTAAAACATAGACATTCCAAGCGCAAACCAGGGAAATCTCACTCCTAGCACCAGTTTACGGAAGCATAAACTATGCCCAAATTACTGAAATGTTTTATCATACATTCTGCTTCAATTTTAACGAGAATGTTGAAGCCATAATGCTGGTTCTGCTGTCATTCACAGTCGAGCAACCCAACGGTATCCCAGTTGAGTTATACGACACACGTAAACGTATCCGGTGCAAACATTTCTATATCTTGGGTCTAGACATTTTTTTATAAAGGGGATTGCGTAGGGGATGACACCCTCTGAGTACGCTCAATCTATTCATATACTCCCGCACTGTGGCAACCAAATAGAAAGAAGCCATAGTCGGGTAGTGAGATTAACCAGGCTCAATTTTGAGAGTATACATTATAACCGAACAATGCGGAATTAAAATGCAACAAAGTGGGACAGCACCATATCAAAGGCATATTGGTCAAGATAGTACTATCTGGAATGTTAATACATGAAACTCCGCACGGATGATTGAATTTCAGGTATTGCATAACGTGTCTTAGCCATATTTCCCAGAAACATAGGTACTCTCTAATTTAATAACTGGGTATCTATTGGCAAGTTATTTTTGCACGCTCGGAGTGCCGCTAAATTTTGTTGATCAAATGTGGTCGGGATAGCGGCATAGCCTTCCAACAGCTATGAGTAGTATCCATTACTTGATACATTCTATGCGACCCAGCGTTAACCTACTTGAGGTTTGGTTGGCGAAACCGAAGCCTGTTTGCAACACTGTATCTTGCCTCTTCAAAATACCTGGGAATGATGATGTAATGTTAAAGAACTGTGAATTCAATTTGTCCAAAATGGAGTATGGTGGAACATTATAAATTAGTGAGTACACAACTGAATACTGAGTAATGATTCAAGCATAATGCTTCGCACTAATGCGATCGCAGGAAATGCCTAGTAAACAAATCGCGGATCTTTTACACCACTACGGGAAACTAGATATTAGCAGTTGATTATATATAGTGCGAATTGAAAAACTATGCGGTTAAGATGCTCATGCAAGAGTCCTATGATGCTGTAAGTATGATTCCTGAACTTTCAGCGAATGATTCATAATGTTTCTTATTACTTTCCTAGAAACAGTCAGGTTGTTGAGTTCGGTAGAAAAATAACAGACATGACAATTATTTGCTTAATTTGGAGCATTTTATAAGGCGGCTAATAATGAAGCGCAGTTATCCGTGGATATTTTTATGTTAACTCAGAATGTCTACTGATTTAGTTAATGTCAACGTATATTGCGTAATAGTATTGGTTGCTATCATGTGACAATATGGCTCCGAATTAATTAACATTGAATCAAATATTTGGTTTGGTCCGAGGTGCATTCTTCTGTACATCAGATGCTGATCCTAAACTTGTGGGATTCAGTCAAAATAGGCTTATTTATTGCACTCAGAACATAAGCTCTCCGCATATTGTAACTCACCCGATACATACGATTTTAAATAGTTCCTCAAATTGGAAAGCAATGCGCTTGTGTAATCGGCAGCTTCACAGAAAGGAAGATAGAGGCAAAGGACATTAAGTGCAAGTGATCTGATTAAGATTCTACCGCAACCAAGTAAACAATGTACTCAAACGTTTGCACCCTACTCTGTAAACTCTAACACTAAGGCTGAAATATGACTGTGCATGGGTCTAAAATATTAGTTGCATAATTATTATCTACGCGAAACTATATTTATTTCGAAAAGTGCAGTAAGAAGACGAAGAGTGGCAAATGCACGCATTTCGTATTGTCTCATCAGTGCCTTTAATATTTATTTCACGTAATAAAAATCACACATAAGTCTGTATGCAATCAAGTAAAAAATGCTCACATGCTCAAGCAATCGCATCGGTATTCTGCAATTCAGCTACTGCAGTATACTGATGCTAGTATTTTGGTTTGTTTTATGTATTGTTATCGAGAATTTTGAGTTCTTAACATATTTCTCATTGAGCATCGATGTTATAAAGATGGTTGCGGATCTGCCGGATGCTAAAATAGACCCATATTTCAGTCGTTCACCATTCGTAGTAGATATGCTGTAGTAATTGCCTCTTAAGTTACTATCTTTACTCTGTGTTGCATTATTCACTGATTGACCACCTTGTAAATGACAAGCCCGGATACCTTCGGTGGTACCATATCAGAGGATCTCTCATCAACTCTGTCACATATGAGAAGGACCTGGGAGTATCCGTCTCGCACGATCTCAAGACATCGCTTGATACGCAAAAGGTCGCGGCTGCCATCGGAATGCTCTGGACTTTGCGAATGTAGTTTCGCAAAATTACGCCGGAGACTTTTAGAACCATGTTCGCTTGGCATGTCTGTCCGACCCTAGAATATCTTCCCCCGGCTTCTAACACCCTCTCGAAATATGAACATTATCTGATAGAGAAGGTCCTGAGGCACGGTTAAAATAGATATCGAGGCTTAGGGGTCTCCCCTACACTCTTCGACTTAAGACCTTGAACCTGTACTCCATGGAATACTGCCGTAGTTGCGGCAATCTCCTGTACACCAGACGTATCCTAAGTGGAGAGCTAGGAAGTGAGCAGTTGCTGCTCTTCTACCTCATTGTTGGCAGCGCGAACAGGTGACCACAAGTGGAAATTATTTAGCCGAGGACACTTTGCGCCCATCCGCAAGCTGCTCTATCTCCCAGGGTAATAAATGATTAGAACAGTCGGTCGAAGCACGCAACTGACTCACAGACAAATGAAAGTTTCAAGCGATTGCTGGACACTCATCTAACGCACATGGCAGGGCCCTGATGCTCTTACTTTAAAGTTGACGATTTTCGAAGTAGTAACGTTTCCCGACAGCCGGCACCCACCTTGTGATGATTCGAAATCGGTGGAGGTAAAAATGGATCTCCCCCTCCTCCAAATATTCCAATGTACTCAAATGAAAAGTAAAAATTACTTTTGCGGTATAGTAAAACGAGCTACAAGCTGAAAAATTGAACTGCATCTCATGACTGTACGACATTCCGCAAGACGCATGTGCCTGCGTGATTCAGTGAATCACTATAATCCATAAAAGGACGGATTAAATTCGTGAAAACGACAAAATGAATGCGATGTTCTAATATGTGACTTGCTATCTGAGATTCTGAACGTAGGTTTTCTACATTCACTCCGACTCTCTAGCTTACATCATGTGTACAATTCCGTGGTCCCGTTGATCTCGGCAATTGACATGCCACCTTCGCATTCTAACCAGTCACGAGATTGGTTAAGGAAACGCTATAACCGGTAAGCCAAACTATGTTTATTCATTCTTAAGCTAAACATTGGAGTTCGCTAATCTTGCGGAAAACACGACAATGGATTGTAAAATGATACTGTTTGACAACCATTGAGTATTTACTGACGTTCCGCTGCTTAAATCATTCAATCTTATTTACACGCGCACAACTGAAGGTAAAATTGCTCATTTTTGATGCACTTTATATGTTGTTCATGTTGAACGAATGAATGTAGATGCAGATATATTTTGAACTATTATTAACACCAAGACTGTTATTTGCTAAAAATATCCATGCACAACATGCAAATAGGACTCTGTTGCGCAAGTCCAACCCGAACAGACCGGACAAAGTTTACCGTTTCATTAATCAATACCTCTTTCTCCATTTGCGACAAGAGGTATGTTGTCCAAAATACTAGCTAGTCTGTAACGATGCAAGAGTAGCTTTCGCATGGTAAATTTAGAAAAGGCCTTAATCTACCTTGTAACTCGAGGGCTTTGCGTGCTCTATTGCAAGCAGATCGCTTAGAATTACTACCGAGATAATCTCAAGTTTGCCGAATTTCCCGCCATTCGGCGGTTGAATCCCAGTTTCTGGAAACGGCTAGATTTCGTAAGAATTTTCACTATTTACCTGTGTCGACCGTACATCTAATCCTCCCACCTAAGTGAAAATTCGCTTAAGAAAAGTCGACCGTCTTAGACGTCACCAGCAAATTGCACTTAAATTAATTTTCATTGAAAGATTCCACTATCTCTAATGCGCTCATAGGGGAAAAGCAGGGTAGCAAAAGTCTTGCTCCTGAGTAACATGTAAATTGCCGGAATTCGTCGTGCACCAGAAACATACTAACAGCACATGCATGATGCATGGACTAACTCGATGCTTTTGTATCGGCATATGCCGTCAAGCTGGAATTCTCAAAAGCACTTATGCAGTTAGATTATTTGATTTGATTTCGTAAACTTCTGAAAAGTGGATATAATGATCCTTTCCTGAGTTGGACAATAAAACTTCTCATTTGATGCCATCTGTAGGCAAGGTTTCGCTGCCACATATGCCACCCGATCGACGTTCATGTGGTGCAGTCCAATGCCTGGTAATCTGAGAACGCCTGTTTCCTATCTGCATAAATGCTCCAGCGTGAGTATTCTGCTTGAATTCTCTATGATTAACTGCCGGTCTAAATATTGATATGCTATCGATACTATGGATAATCAAGTAGTGCTTTGCGTTGAGCTGATATATGATCAACTGGAAACATGATCCATTGCGACACAGCCAACTACAAGGTGCTGATCACGTGATACCAAAGCAGCCACGACCACATGATAGGCTCACAAATTCTACCATGTGTTTCTCATGGGAACGATAACCGTGTGATCGCGCATGATTAGCTCTACTGTTTAAGGCACTTTGAAATGGAAGCAGCAAAACAAAATAAGACTTATGCCTTTTGAGGAGGGCAGTTGACTGCTTAATGCCTTATTTTCTTCCTGAAGGTTTCACGCTTGTGCGAAGCTGCTCCGTAGAATCCGCCATCCACGCTTCGCATCGCCGGTAAAAACAAAATCATGTCACATGCGTGAAAGCAAAAGCTGGAGAACCGTGTCAGTTAAAGACTTGCCTCTTCTTCACAATCACATTAGGCTAAATACTCAAGAATTTACAGCTGAAGTTCTCAGATTTCACTGAGTGATCTGTAAAGAGTGAAAACAATCCTTAAAAATAGAGAGACTACACTTGTCAGCATCTTTGGAAACTCAATAAAATTACATCTCATTTCTAGCTGACAGCGCTGTTGAGCCGACTAGAATGTCAAAATATTTTTACCCTCGGGTGCACAGACATCGAACTCCGTCGCAACACAAGTGTATAACTATCCCTTATTAACGCAATTCAGAAAATGACTTAATGTCACACTGACATGCATACGCTATATTATGAGGTACGCAAATACAACAATAGTGTAATAGTCCAAAAAACGGTAAACTATATAAGAATCTCCTTAATATTCAGGAAGGAATAGTTGAATGCGTTTTACTGCAGACCATAAAATGATTTCGCAAAATGCATCTTATTTTATCATGCTGAGGCTGATCTTGCATTCTTGATGCTTCTTCACCGCAGTTGGGCTAAACCAACTTACACTTAAACTAGGTCTCTTTAAGCTGCATAAATTTCATTCTAGTTTATTTGGTTTGTTTTGCCTATCTGAATTGTCTTCTATTAGCTGGCCACGTTGTTTCCGCTAATTGCGCTTATCTTCGGTAATTATGTTACGTTTGTAGCATTTTTAACTAACTTGTGCACATCTTTTCCTTATCGCGGATTCATTGCTAACCATCTTACTTCATATGCTAATTTAGCGAAGAGTTATGCCACCGTATCTGTATGCATTAATGGATTTATTTTATTTCATTTTGTCGTTTCAGGTGATTGGCTGTTACTTGATATCCCCGGTGTGGCTGCGCTTGATGTGCATGTTGACAAGGTGCCTAACTGTCTATTACCCACTACCTCATCCATACCGGCTCTAGGAGACAGTTTGTCGTTGCTGAAGGGGATGAAGTGCACGGTTCTTGTGGCCGTGCTGGACTCCAAGGGTGGTTTCATGCACTCAGTGTGGAGCGGACTACGGTCCAGCCACCGCCTTGTATGTGCTTGATTCCCCAAATATAGTGTGCTTGTGTTTGCCTGTGAAGGAGTGTGGGCCGGCTCCATTGATGAAACGTGGTTCCCTTCCACATACCTCCCGGTCTTATTCCTTCGGGTTTACACTGGATATGGGGTGTGTGCATGGAGCTGTGGTTGGTGTAGCTCAAGCCACCCATGGTCCCTCTATAGGCGCAGGCGTCCAATGGGTGGCCACAGTGACAGGCAAATCCGAAACCGGATGCCGCCAACCATATTTTCAAGTTGCATTTTTCATCCCATCAATCCTGCGAGGTTTGTTAAAAATTTGCTTATAAATCATAATTTAAATGATCTCAAAGCCTTATAGGCATTAGAATGCTGTAAAATATTCACGGACCTAGGTAAACGATAAGCATGGCCACTAAACAACAAGGAATTTAGGTTCCATTTCATAAACAACGCAGTTGGCTTAGGTGAAGGATAAAAGAGTGACAATAACCTGAGTACTTATCTTATATATTACATTTTAATGCAACACCGAATAAAGAATTGTTAGTTGCAAAATATTATATACACGTTTTGCTCCCCAATCGCCAAGACACACCAGACTTACATTTATTTTATTTTAATCACATTAACCGTTTTTTTGAGGCAACTTACATCGGTTTGCTCCAGCTAAATTATGCATCCGATTGAGGAAATTTTCTGTGAGCTCCTCGGATCCTGGAAGGCATACATTTGCAGCTTGTTCATATTACACGTCATACGTATGCCAGTTTGACCATGATGATATTATACGAATCATTTTCAGTGGACGAACAGAACTTAATGTATCGCTTTTAGTCTTCAGAAAATGCAACACTAAATGCTTCCAAATGGATAATTATTTTCCTTAATATAATTTTGACCGACATGGTCAACAGATATAAAGTTGATGTTGCTGTGGTTCCCACCACGAAAGCAGCATTGAGTGGCATTTATACTTGCTGAGTGCATTTATGAGAACTATAAATAAGGGACCATTTGAGTCATCAAGTTTTTGGACAAAATTAGATAAAATCAGCTTTTAAAATTAAAGTCATTACGGATCTAACAAAGAATAGTCAACTGGCAGACAAACTAACATATTATCTTGAGTTACCTCATGCCATATTACTTGAGATTCACTTGGAATGATGAAAGAGATTTCGCTTAATATATTGGTTAGTTTAAAATAAGGTAGACTCGCCTATACCCACCACAAAACGATTAAAATAAGATATTGTGGTTCTACCTCTGTTATAAGAACAAAACAATATATTTTCTCGTCGACTCGTCTCACAATTGCAGCAGTTTAAGTTAAAGCTCAACACATTTGGGTAATCAGTGTTAGTCAAATCTGAATATTCGTTTACCAGGTTATACAGTAGTATATGCGAAATTATGAGTGAAATATTTTCTAAATCAATATAAAATGCATGCTGCATTTAACCCAATAGAAGAAGTATACAAATAAATACTACAGCGACACTTGAATGCGATTAAGCAGTTGAGGTTGCTGATCGCTACCATCATTTGTTGCACCATGTTAAAGGTATGATGGGATTTCGCTGCATTTCGATTCATTATTATTATGGGGCTCTAAGTAACATCAATGTATGTAACAGTTATAACGTTCCCCATGTGTTGGCTTTCAACTTTTTAACTTCTAAATTTATCCACTACATTTAAAATACCTGACTGTTACCGTCTGAGAAAATCATGAACAAGTCATCAGTTTCTAAACATACCTATGGCAATCTGCATCCAAGTCTGTATCAATGCGTCATAATCTGCCGCAGCGAGTGTGGAAGCTGTGTGGGAAAAAGTGAGTGAAGCTTACAGATTACACAGTGCACGTTCTGCAGTATTTAAGGAGGCTAGATTCTATGTTAAATCCGATTAAATAGGACCTTGTGACGCTATTGGGCATATTACATCCGGTGATGGCAGAAGTTGAAATAATTCTGCCGCATCAAGTTAAATCCTAACAGACGATATAAAAGCATTTACTGTTAAAAGTGGTATACACTTACTGTGGTGGTGTCTAAGGAGGTTCGCCAGAGTCATGTAGTTTTTTTCATTGAGTTCTTCCAAAACTAACATTGTAACGGATGTAAAAACGTTTCATTTATAAAATTAGACTAACATATAATTAAACATTGCAAACAGACTACAGGTATCAAATCATTTAACACTGCTAACGTATTTACAAATACTTGTTGATGTCCACCGCAGGGCAAAACCTGAGAAAAGTATATGGATGCCGGAAGTTTAGAAAGTCCAAAATTTTAAAATCAACTTTCCACCTAATTTTAAAACCAACCTCCTTTAGGTAGTAAAATAGTTCCAACTGTTAGGAGTAACCTTGATTAGACAAATAGCAATTAATTTCTATGAATTGTCATGCACCAACATCTTTTATTGTTGAAGTACGTAGACGTCTAGGAACTTTTATCGCTCATCCGTTCGCGATTCTATCCAATAATCATAAATTTCTTTCCGAAAGGTAATATTTTGTACATGTGCCATTCGACCGAATTTGTGTTCAGTTCAACTGGCCTCTACCATCCATCAGTACAAGCAGTACACCCTGTTGTCCACTCTAGCTCGTCCCACGAAATCCAACAAGCGAAGCGGAAGTCTTACTCGAGATTCGACGCTTGAAGCGCTTCAAAGCTGCCGGCTTAGACGGACTTCCTCCGGAACTATTCAAGTACGTCGGTATGACAATCATTAACCAGCTGACCGCGCTGTTCGTAAAAATTTGGCATGAAGAGAAAGCGCCTTCCTCTTGAAGCGAATCAGTTATTGTCCCTATTTTAAAGAAAGGCGCTCGCACTTCATGTGCAAATCATTGGGGAATTAGTCTTATTTCGGTTGCCTCTAAGCTATTGGCATCCATTCTGCTTCGCAGACTATCCCCTGTACGTGAATCATACTACCGTGAAGAACAAGCTGTTTTCCGTCCTGGCCGCGGATTCGTGAATCAAATCTGCACCCTCCGTCAGCTGCTCGAAAATCGCCACGTTTTTCACAGGCCCAATATCGTTGCATTCTTAGACATACGTGCCGATTTTGACTCCGTTAATCTACCTGCTTTCTGGTGTTGCTTGCTAAAGAACGGCGTGCCAGACAAATATACCGCCATCTTACGAGTACTTTACCTTTATACATCCGACAGAGTAAGGGTCTATGGCAAGCTTACCTCGCAATTCGGTGTCAATAGCGGTGTGCGACAGGGCTGCCCTATGTCCCCATTCCACTTCAATTTCGCAATCGAAGACGTTCTGTCGAATGCTCTAGAAGGTTTCCAACATTTTGACTTAGAGCTTCTACCGGGTGAGCGCGCGACCGACTTAGGTTATGCTGATGATATCGCCTTACTTGTTGACGATCCTCAGGGTATGCAACTCATTCTGGATCGTTTGGCGGTTGAAGCATCTAAGGATGGCATGAGCTTCGCCCCATCGAAGTGTAAAGTACTGCTCAAGGATTGGCTTTCACCTGCTCCCGTGCTCACCCTCGAAAATGCACAGCCTGAAAAGGTAGATAAATTCGTCTAACCTGGGAGCTGTGTTTCTGCTGACGGCACTATCGACAAAGAAGTTCATTTTCGTATCGCTAAAGCTCGATCAGCTTTTGTCAATCCGAGGCACTTTTGGCGTCGTCGCGACGTCTCATTCTCAATAAAGGGCCGCGTTTACAACGCATCAGTTCGCTCAGTATTGTTATATGGGTGCGGGTCTTGGCCGATTCGCGTGGAAGAGATGCGTCGTCTTTCTGCCTTTGATAACGGTTGCTTAAGGAGGATCGCTGGTGATTGGTGGCAACATCAAGTTTATAATAGTGACGTTCGACGTTGCATCTTGGGGAATGAGATTATTCCCTTCAACAAACTGGTTTTGTTGCGCCAGTTAAGATGGCTCGGTCACGTTCTACGCATGGCAACTGAGCATCTACCGCGTCGCGCTCTATTCACTCGTCAAGTACCTGGCTGGAAGCGACCGCTTGGTGTTCAGCCTTCCATTTAGCGGCAGCACATGAAATCGCTGACGTCGTGTCTGGCCGCTGTTGGATCCGTAGGTCTTCCAGGATGGGGACCCAAAAATGAGGATTGCCAATGGCTTAACACTCTTGAAGGATGGCCCGCAACCGGAATCAGTGGAAGGATTGTGTACAGTATTGTACTGATGCACATGTTTAATAGTACAAACATTGAAAAGGACAAAAAAGAGCAAAATCGGCGTGTGAAAAACAACCTAACATGTTTTCTTCTATTTTTTTCAAAATGTTCCATTCTTCCTGCGGCATATTAGCTGAAGTGTGTTGCTCACCTTCAACTAGCATGCCACGGTGATTATGACGCGATGACTCTTGCTTATCCGCTAATCTCCATGGTTTTATGTTGGCTCTGTGTCTAGTTGATAGACTGCTGAGATTACATACATACATTCAGTAAAGTCAGTCTAAATTGAAATTCAACATTTACGTATAACGGGTCGGCATTTACAATAAACCATAGTTTGCCATTATGAATTTTAGCATGGATATCATCGATTTTGCTTTAGTAGTTACAATACTGCCTGATATTGCCGAGCTTGTGCTTGACGAGCAATCAGTAGTATGCACTTCCATTTACGAGAAAGTATTTGTATAGGACATTACAAGTGGGACATCTATGCAGCTGTCAAATTGATTTAGTCTTTGGCTTATTAGTGACGAGCACATTGATGGTGTCAGCTGTGCGTCGTAAGGGCGCCTCTCTGCCTTGCCACCACCACCAGTCGCACTCCGGCTGAGTATACCGCGAGGAAGCCCGCCCCACGCGGATTCGAAACCCGCGCAGCAAAATTACCAGACAAGCTGTTTACCTATAGGCTACTGCCCAACGGGACCACTGGGTATGCACGAACCACCAACCTTTCGGTCAACATCGGACAAATTGATGATTGACATATACCTGCACAATGATGCTTATAAATAGGAACATTCATATCTATATTCTGCTTCAAATATAAAAGGCAGTCTATCAAAGAATAATTCACATAAATCAGCTCTTGTATTCCTTGTCCTACTTAAGCTATATAGGCCGATTGAAAAAGTAAATGAAGCTTGTTGGCTAGTAACGACATCGCATCTGACCTATGTCTGGCGTATGAGAACTACCTTCAAAGCCTTTCTACTTGTCTTGACTAAAACAACTTGGTGTAGGTGAAAACCATATCAGGATGCATATGTACTAATAGAGTACCATAGATGTCCCGGTTTTTCATTAACCGCTAAAACAGAGAAATGACACTGAGTGAGGCTTAAGCATTGTAGGGAGGTTCGTATTCACAATACCACGAGACACATTAGAGTGAACTTATCGAACCATCTCAATGGTTCGTGTGGTTTGCTCAGTGCGCTTGGCTGCAAAACAAGTAAAATGGGTGTATCTAATGGGTTTTGAGCAGATGCTACATGAATATGCGCAGAAGAAAAGCCGAAATTTAAACATAAAATTTGAACGCATATTGACGGACTTGTGAGCTCACACAAGCTCGCTTGCTTGACTTACTCTGCACGAAGCTGTGGGCGTCGTTGGTTAGCAGACGAAGCGCGCGGAGGAGGCGGCGAGTTTCTAAGTAGCAACGAAGAGACAGACAGCATACATTGCAGTAAACAAAATAAACAGGTGTTCGATGAAAACAAGCATGCCGTCTAAAGAATTCCTTTTTTCTACTCCTAGCTGATAAACGATATGGGAGATTAAACTTCGTGTTATAAACTAATCGCGAGAACATAAGCACGGTTGTTGCAGAGAGGTCGTATGACAGATTTCATTTAGTAAAGCTTCATTTTAATCAAAGGTTCGTATGCAACAGCATTTATTTTATTAAATCCAATCCTGTTTATTTCACAACTCATCATATTGTCGCGACTCTAAATTCTGAACATGAACTACATGTCAATGAAATATGTTCGATATATGACCAGACAAACGTGGGCAAATAAATAAATATTTATTTGTTTTATTTCGCAAGCGAGTACTTTGATTAACAGTATAGATCTGCGGTCGAATAATGTACACTCTCGTTTATGCAGGCATTTAACAGAAACAATTGAATTGCGCAACCCTACAGTCAATATTGTGCATATTCAAGTTGTCCATTAGTTGTAATGTGGTATACATCGGTTGAGACATTTTCGGTAGAAAAGGAAATTAAGGGCACTGTATCCGGACAACAACTGTGAAAATCCCCTTCTGATATTCGAAAAATACCTTTCCATAAAGTGCAGGATTGTTCAATATATTCCCATATGCTCCAATTTTACAGTATACATTAATACAGCAACACATGTACAGTATTCAGGAAACGCAATCAGCCCCTCGGGAAATACACACATGTATGCTATTTAAACTAAATGCAAGCTCACATTGGTAGTTATCGCATGTGAATTTGGGACATCCAGATGAATTTTGTTTGAACGCTTTAATGCTCATTGAGGTAAAATTACAATGCTGCGCGCGGCTAACAATAGCTTATCTAAGTGAGGCACGACAGACGATGAAACGATTAGAAACCAAAATGATACCAATCAGCTTAATGCTTTTGCTCAGTCGGAAACTAAATATTCACGCACAGATATCATGCGCTCGCTTTAGAAAATAACTCGGTGTATAATAAATTGTATTTATGAAGTTTAAAATACAGATATTGTAAGTTCGTAATGAAATACCTCGTAACAAGGAGTTAAATGTATGCTAGTAAGTATACCTAATATCTGATTTGCCAACAAACCAAATAAAATCATGTTATGTTAGTCAGTCTTCATTCTGATTAGCTAAGGGACCGACATCTAAGGCAGTCACACCAACCTCCAACTTCAAATACCTTACAAAATTATACTCTAGGTCAACATTATGAAACCTGCATATTCGAGATTATATAGGTTTGTAAACAATCGGTTGGTATAGTAGTTTGATAACGTTTGGCTCTTGACACAAAGCTACGTCAGACCAGGTGAATCAGCATGCGATGGGAGTAGAATTTTATAGTAAACAGGGGCGATAACCGGTATAATCAAGACTTGAGCGAAGGTGTCATTCCAGGCAAAGTTTGTGATGTTACCTCATGTGGTTCAACCACATTAGGAATAATCCAGCTGTTCCTTTGTGCGTCATGGCATTGATTGATAAGACGACAGTGATAATAATGAGAGGCAACTTACACTTTCCAATTTGATCCGCGCACTGAAGCCTGTCAGGTCGGCCGGCTTAAGATCACTCGCCACGTACTAGAGAATTCTACTTCTCCATTCTACTCACTGTTGGGGAGTTAACCACTAAGTTATCCAAATCGATCTGGTGACTCGTGTCTAATATATGCACAGCCACGACCGAGTGCTTATGACTGCAGGATATTCAAACTCGTTTGCCGGTGGACTTGTAATGCGCCTCCTGTGCTCTGAGATTTGCGGGCGTAACTCTCACGAAGTTTGACCTATGTATACATGTGTACAGTCCTTACTTTAACTTTTGGAAACAGTTAGCCGTCATAATTTTTTTATGGGGGACTAGGTACACCAGCATTGGATGTAGCGTTTGACCTCCCTGAAGATCACACTTATATTTTCCTTGTTTAGTACTCAGGCAATAGCCTCTGAAAAGACTAAATTGTTCGGAATTCCTTCCGTCCATATGCAATCCGTATTGACTGTCGGTTTAGCACTTTATTTAACTGGCGTTTGACTAGCCGCCGTAAGGAAAATCTACCTAATAGTTTGCCCATTGTCTTTTCCCACGGGACATTTTTCCTCCGCTATTGTGCACAGGGTTTTTGCACTGTAGAATTGTTTTCAAGCTCTCACAGCGTAAACCAGTTTCGGATGACCCGGAGTGTTGTGAAAACGCCGTCAGTATCTTGCGATATATGGTCGTCTTTATATTTCCCCTATTCCTGTGATCCAGGCAGTCAATAAGTGATATTGTGCCGTTAACTGATCCAACTGAATAGTAAACTGTATCATAAATTTAGTTAAAGTGATCAAGCAAATCGCCCTTCTTATACGGTTTAACAAGTAGAACAGTGTCGTCTACTTAACTCTACCAGAGTTTCGGTTCACCGAAAGGAACACCAGGACTCTTCCCACTCTTACTGAGTCACTTGATGTAACATCACAAACTTGCCTGCAATGACACCTTAGCTCAAGTCTGGGGTAACACGGTTTTCGTCCCTGTTTGCTTTAAGCTGCTACGCTAATTGCACACTGATTCACGTGGTCTGACGAAGCTCTTGTGTCAAGGTCCAAACATTATCAAACTACTATTCCGAACGGTTGTTTATGAAGCGCTTTGAACTCGTAACTTCTTAGTTGTTTCTAAGTAAGTTCTAAGAATTAGCAGCCTGCCCAATTGTCTTGTTTATCAAAACAACCATGGTCAATTTCTGCCTTATTAAAAGAATACATAACGGAGTAGCAAATGAGGATCAGTACGCAAAATTATTTTCGCAGAACACAATCCCGTATCCCAACTTACACTACCATGAATTTATTCATCACTAGTGCACGCCTGTTATCAATATCTTCGTGCACGTATACCACACAACACTCGTGGGATATGAGCACATTCAGAAGTTCACTCGCCTTGCTACCAATGAACACGTTCTGCTTTCTAGACAAGACAAGAGCTCTGGTATTTTCATTAGAAACTAGTTGAACTGCCTTGATGAGGTAAAATATATATTGGCGGAATCGGCAACGTGTTTCAAGAGATAAGGTGGGAAAGACATGACAAAACAATCCGAGAGCCATAAATCGAATCGCTTTAAGAAGCTAAAAATTTAGTCCATGCAACTAAAGTGGTTTTTGAGTATGTACGTCCTGTAGGTACGGTTAATCTTACTACGATCTACCCAAAAACGCATAAGTCAAATGTTACGCGGTGACCGGTTTTCGATATGAAGGACAACATTTACCATTGTACCGCTAGGTGGCTAGTTGAGAGATTTGAGCCCTCCAGAAAGCGGATAGCAGCTTACAGCCTGATTTATTGTTTTGAAATTTTAGGCGCAATACAAGAGGCAAAAGCCTCGGGTCTGATCATGTGTACTTTGACTGTGGTCTCATTGTCCACAATTGTGTTGATATTTGAGACAGTAAATTACCTCTGAAAATACGTTGATGGAGCTGGGATGAACATTGGCTTACCCACATATGTTTGAGGGAATGTCGGTACATATGAACGTCTAGTGTCCAATTAGTATTTACTGGGCATTTTTAAAGGCAGCGAAATGGAGTGACGATGAATTCTCCGCCTGGGCCGGATTGGCTGATATCTATAAGTATATGGTTGGATAACAGAGTTTAAACTTAAACATTACGTTTTAGCTTCAAGCTTTGATGATAATTATGGGTGTTGTTTTCGTCTACTCAGCGTATCGAAAAGATTACCAATACTTTTATCCGACCCCATCCAGCTATCGATTGTACTGCAAAGGTAGAAGGAAATAGCTGCCTTTACTTTCCTGACGTAGGCTTGAACAGATTCGATAGCAGGATAGTACAACCCTACATATATCGAAAAGTTAGGTGGAACGGCCAATACAACAACGTACACATATTTGTCCCACTGATTTTGTAACGGGATTTATTCACTACTGCAGTCAGTGGAGCAGAATCTGCTCGCATGTTACACATGTAGTGGAACTACAATTATTAAGTACCATGTTGCGAAAAATGGTTTATCCAAATCTCTTCAAAAACGTCCACATGGAGCAGCGAAATTACCTACCAGTGCTCTTAACGGCCAACAGAAAAGTTATTTTCCTACGGCACCCGTAAAATTGAAAATTGCGACCTTAATCATTTTTAGTCGTCTATCTAAGGAGCACAGACGCAACTTCCCAGCAGCAAAATGTCATACTTACTTCACCGGCACATCGATAGTGAAGCTCATTTTCAAGGAGAGTAGACCAGTTCTCGAAAACTCGACTTACATCTACGCATTCACTTTTTGAGCAGGATATCTTGGTAGTATGACTAGATGTCTATCCAAGAGCGTGAAGGAAAGCAGTCCAGGATGTTTAGCGGCTGGAGTCAGAAGAGCGTGTGACTCTTCCATAGGTGCCCACCTCATTGACGCAGGGCACAGCCTTGAATTAGCCATCGCATGCAAAAATATGCAAATGCCCCCCCCTCGAACATCGTATTAGGTACTAGCGTAGACGGATACTGGAGGACGTTAAAGCTGCCGCAGTTCGTATGCACGAAGCAAACCTGTGCATTCCGAAGCGATGTACCCAGATCTTACGGCTGCCCTGGCTCAACTGACTCGTGACCTTTAACCTGTTGGATCACGTGCACGCCCAGAAATTGCCCAGATTAATAAAGATGATTGCCCTTCGCTAAACAGTTTTACACCCATTTTCACGAACTCACTGGGTTGTTTGATTGCTTTGTTTGACAGCAGCCGTATTGGCACTAGACCAAGGAAAAATTACCGAAAAAATGCTTTTGCTTCCACTAAGCTTCCGTAAAGCCATGTAAGATATTCAGACGAAAACTAGTTAAAACCATTGAAGGCAAACACTTCACCAAACTTCATAATTCATTGCTGTATTGAGCAAATGGCGTCCACATTAAGACTCGTTGGCGTGCATTAATTTCTTCGGCACAATCTGACCTTTCGATGAACAACCATCAGCAATGTTGTTAGTTGGATCTTAGAGAAATCGTAATCTCGGAGATTTCCGAAGTCAGCGAACAGTACAACTGTCATATGAATAGCAGGAGGTGCCGA